CTTGTCTTCCAGGCCATAGAAAGTGCCATCGGCGGCAACGCCTACCAGCACAGCAAAGTCAACCAGTGGACCACAAACGTAGTAGAACAAACTTTAAGCCAACTCACCAAGCTGGGAAAACCATTCAAATACATCGGTAATGGACTTGTTTCTCGTATATATTGATGCTGGTTCTTAAAATACTGCTGAAAGGCAGGGCTGATGTCAGAAGAGAGTTGTCAGTGTGGTACCCAACCTCCAAGTTCCCGTAGAAGTGTCATTGTGTTGTGCACATTGCTTTACTTAAGGTCAGAACTGGCATCAACTGGCCTTGTTTGGCTGCTGGAACAATCGAAGGCATGCCACTGGATTTCAGATCAGATGCTTGTAGGCTGGGTGTGCAGTGAAGGGAAGGGACAGGTGTGGTTTGCCAATGTCATAGGACCAGGCGAGCTTCCCTTGTAATTTTTATGAGCATCAACCACGTGATCAGTATACATATGCTAAAAGTGGGCAAAAAGAAGTGTGTTGCCAGGTACATTTCTCTAATGAAAGTTGTTTTCGTTGAAGTTACCTGTATAATTATGCAGAAGAACGGAGCAGGACTACACACAGCGAGTTCCTGCTTCTGGGACAGCTCTACTGACGGTACGCTTCTCAGTCCCGGGTCAGTCTGTCGTGGGCATTTTCCTGAGGTTGTGGTGTCCTTTTTCTTGGACCTGCTGAGATCTAGATTGTCCAAAGCAGTGTTCCCCTGAACTGCGTGCGTGGATGTTCCCTGTCTTTGCATGCTTATTAGTTACCTTTAAAGCATTTTGTAGAAAAGAGATTTGCCAGCCTTCTCATGTGTGTATCCAGAGAGGTAAGTATCTGAGTGTTGGGCCATACAGTGAGACCGCAGCACAAAGTGGCCTGTGTTCCTGACTTCCCATGCCATCTGCCCGCAGGGAGCTGCACTGTGCGATGGGAGAACAAGACCATGTACTGCATCGTCAGCGCCTTCGGACTGTCCATCTGACTGACTCCTCATCCCCCCGGGCTTCCTCCTCTGTCTCAACTTTTCTGTCTGACCCTCTAACCACCAGCCATGAGTTCTGAACAGCTTTCCCTGTTTTCTGTGGCACTGTCAACATGCAGAGAAAAACCCAATGACGGCCTGTTCTGTGGTCACACACCCAGTCACAGGATCCTCCGTCGGAACCTGGACTGCCATGTGTCCACTCTGAATCTCTCTGTTCAAAGGTGCTAAACACTCAGCCTGCTAGTGTGAACCTTTCTCTACTCTGAAATCATTCAACACACTTTTTTCCATACTTTGTATTTTTATTAGAATAAATTATTCCAATTTAAAGTTCGTTTTTCTTTAGTCTAAATCAGCAGTTGCCAACCTTTCGGACCTCAAGGACTACTGGTTGGTGACCACTAGTCTAAATAGTGTCACAAACAAAATGTATTTACTTAGTGCTTCAACATCCATGAAACTAAAAAAAGAAGAAAAACAAGCTGCAGTTTGGCTTGGTCCTCTCCAACACAAAGACTTGCTCACCCAAGGGCCAGGCCCTGACAGCTCCGCTGTGTGCTGGAGAGATCCTTCTGCCTCCAGCCAAGCTCCCTCTCCTAGGGCTCCCGTGGGGAGCGGGCGCTGACTGTCCCTTAGCCAGGAGCTCCAATGCACACACACGGCTCAGATCTGTAACACTGCAACTTGTCCTCCGTGTTCTCATTTTCTGTAGCACTCACACACAAATGTTTTAGTTCTCTAGGGCTTGCAAAATGCCTTCACAATCATTCGTTTTGTATCTATACAACAGTTAACATCCTTATTTACAGAAAATGTGTTGGGAAGTCATTGGCTTGATTTAAAGTCACATCCAAGTAAGTGAGGAGGTGAGCCTTAAACCCTGGTCTTGTGACCGCATCTTTGTGCTCGTCCTTGGACCACATTATCTTGGCAATAAAGACACGCTCCTTGTCTACCTGCTAAAATGAAAAATACGCTGCTCTTGTCCTGAAAGCACTCTCGTGAAAGATCACGTTAACTCCACATGCAAAGAGCAAACCAACGTAATAAAGAAGGATCAAATATTAAAAACATACACTTACCAAAAAGGTAGTCTCAGAATAAAGCTACTCCAAAAATTTGCAATAAATAAACATTTATTCATTTCAACAGATTACAGTGCTCATTCTGTGATCGGGTTTACTGTGCCCACTGACAGTTCTAATTCGCAGCTCTACCCTTTCAAGCTTTAACTGGAGTGTGTTTTATAAATATTTACAATCTTGTAAAAAGGCAGTTTTCAGTAGCAGAAAATTCTGTATTTCAGAATAATTACTGGTATTTCTAAAACACGTGAAATCAAGATCAACAGGATAACAAGATGTCACAGACTAAAGCAACTTCCCTTTTGTCTGGAAAAAAGATTTTTTTCGAAAGTCTAACCTCTAAGGCAACTGGTTTCTAAAACCCTTAAAAATGTATAAGTATACTTCAGAGTTTGTAGGCATCCCTTTAAATCATCCCTTCTATCTGAATCTTTTTCCCCGTGAAAATGCCCACATTACAACCTATTTACTATATACCTTTAGTAAATACTTAACAAAATAGAGGCTGGTGACATTTCTCTTATAATCTCCCCATTCAGTGGGTTGGTGTACATCATGTATCTAAGCTTCCTGCAATCTAATTCTGTACAGGACGAGCTGACAAACCTTGAATCCATTTTATATATTGCCTTTTTTAGCTTTTCAAATGGGCTTAAGAGAGAGAAACCCCATCACTTTACTGCAGTAATGATTTAATAATAAATCCAGAGGAACCGCTGTCTGCAGAGAGAATGACGCTGTCCCTAGGAAACTGAAATACCTGTGTCGTCTTCCAGATCGCCCTAGCCAGGACCAGCACAAAAGTTACCCCAAAGATGATGCTATTCAAGCTGTTACAATGGAAGAACTAAAGTTAGCCCTTTATCATTTAAATTTGCAAAAGTTTGAGGATCTCCAAAGAAAAAAATTCCTGCTACTGTTTAAAGTTTCTGGCAGAGGTTAGTGTCTTAATCTAACACCTAGGGCACATACAGTATATGCTAAATATACTTTAAGCAAAAATTTACATGGAGTATATAATCTATATATAAAACCTTAAGCGACCAGTTAACTGTTTGACCAGTCACTATGACACACCCTGACCACCAGGGGGCAGATGCTCAACACAGGAGTGCCCCCTGGTGGTCAGTGCGCTCCCACAGCAGGAGTCCCACTCAGACACCTGGGCTCACAGTTGGCTAGTGCAGCGGAGGTCGCATAAGCCTCTCCTGCCTCCACACAAGTGCTACCAAGCGGTGGCGGGCATGGGGGCTGGGATGAGCAGGAGTGGTGTGGCGCCCAACCCTGGCCACCTACCGCTTTGCACACTATTACCATCCCTTGGGGGATGTCCGACTGCCAGTTTCGGCTCAATCCCCGCAGGCCGGGTGGGAGAAACCAAGTCTGACATCCCCCGAGGGGTCCTGGATTGCAAGAGGGTGCAGGCCAGGCTGAGGGACCACACCGGTGCACGGACCCTCGATGTTCATATTATGATACACCAGGGAGGGAAATTGAAAATGCATGACTATTTCCCTTAAGGACCTTCTTTTGTAAGTTTTTTCTTGTTCCCAACTTCGTTGCACAAAGTAAATAAATATGCCCATAGTGTTCATTTCCTTGACACCATATGAATCAATATATGAAGATATCAGTCATCAGGTATAGTTACAATACAGGCCAAAGACAGGTTTTAAAAAGTTCTAAGTTATATGACTAAATGCCTCAAACATTTTACACTTCCTGATAAATATCAGTGTTCAAATTATGGGTAATTATTTTATAATTAAAATGTAAACTACATCACATACTACAATACATTAATCAGCACAAATTTTTGTTAATTTACATAACATTATTTATAGTTAGTCTTAATAGAGATTGTAAAATTTGGTAACAAAATTTTTTCAACACTTCTGAGCACACAATTTAAAAATGTAACACATCATTGCAAATATAAAAAACCATGTAAACCTGAATTACCCTTGCAGTAATACAGTTGTAATCCGAACATTCATATTTACAGAGCTTTAAAAACATAAACGGACTTCATATAAAGGAATGTTATCACACTGATGTTAAAATTAAGAAGGAAGGTCTGAGTGAGGGGCAGTCCCTCCTGACCTCTAGGTCCCAGCACTGCCCGGAGGGGACATGTTCAGCAGGAACGGTGAGCCGAGAGCTCAAGCCAGTGAAGGACGGGCAGGAGCTGCGTGCACGGCGAACAACCAGACCCTGTCCCCTGCACCTGCACGAGCCTGCTAACAGTTGGAGACCTTTCCCAGCACGTCAAAGCAGAGCACTGGTGTCTACCAGGTGCTGAGAGGGACAGGAACAGCGGCCCCGGGGGCTGACTGCTGACCTGACCACCAGGGAGACATTCCCAACAAGCTATTTCCACCCAAAGAGGTTCTTCCACGAACGATCCACAATGCCTCACCTCCTTTCATCTCATTTAGTGCCAAATGAGAAACCAAAAAGCTTTTGGCAGTAAAGAAGTGAGGAGCTACTGAAATGTAACCTGTCAGTCATCTGTTTAGCTTTTATTAAAAAAGCAAAACAAAGCTCTAGCGGTGTCCTCGGCAGCAGAGCTGCAGAAGGTACTGTCCCTTGGACCATCTTCCCCGCCCCAACCGCAGGGACATCCTGCATATCCATGGATGTGACTCATCAACATACAAACGCACACGTGTGCACACAACCCCTGGGAAACCTATGGCAACCGCTCAGTTGCCTTGTCCTTTTCTTAGAAACCCTGTCACACCCTCTTTGGACGCCCGGAACGTCTGCCCTGGTGGGCGAAGGGCTGGGCCTGGCACCCACCTTCCCCCCGTCTCAGGCTAACAGGAGCTGCATCAGGTCCGGAGGAGCGCAGGCCTCTCGGCGGGACTGCCCTGGGGAGGCAGCGCACGGCTTCCCTGGGGTGGAGGCAGAAAGCGCACCGCGGGGGGGGGGGGGGGGGGGGAGCGCTGCCAGGCGGAGGCCTCCAGAGGGCTCCCCACGAACGTGGACTCAGTAAATCATCTTAAAATAAGTACATAATTCTCACAAAGACAGGCGTCGCTCCTTCCTTCCACGGAGGACGAGCTCTCGCTCACCTGAAGCCTCTGGCAGAGGACTGGGCTGCGTCAGCGCCTTTCTTCCCAATGCAGCCACTCTAACAATAAATTTGGCCCAACGATAAAATTTTCCTCAGTTTAGGTTTTCCTCTAAAAATGTGTAAACAAACAGGGACCCAGAAAGCTCTGCTTAGAAGACCAGCCGTGCACAGGCAGGAGCGGAGGCGCTGGCACCGCAGGGCGCCCCCACGCCTGCCACCCAGGCGCTCAGTCGCTCTCGGACTCCTCCTTGTACTGCGCCCGAATGGCCTGGCCGTTCTGCAGGGGCATCTCTTCATAGTCGCTCCTGTTACAAAAGAGACCGTGGCTACTAGGACGCTTGGCACGGCTCCTCTCGTACGGCCGCCATTCTAACGAGAGCTCAGCTTCACTCACTCCACTTCCACCACCAACTGCCAGTGCCCGCTCCACACCCCCGTCACCAGGGCCGCCGTCCGGAAAGCACTGCCTGCCTGTGCTCACCACTGGCCGGGGAGCTGGGTAAAAGGAACCCCTTTCCATCTCAGCCAGAATAACGGGGCAGCAGAGCCATGTGACACCGCCAGCCACAGCAGTGCTCAGACGCCTGAACCCCGAGCTGACTGCCCCCGCTCAGCAGCACGCAGGCCCAGGCGGGCGCCGGGACGGCTCACCCGTAGATGACGTCGTCGTCGGAGTCGTTGAGCATGGAGAAGGCAGGGTTGTCTTTCAGCTGGGACTCTGAAAACAACCAGAGCGTTAGCCCGCAGAGGACGCTGACCTGGGGCGGGTCGAACAGAGCTGGTTCAAGCCCAGCTCCCACCACCGCCGTCTGTGCCCTGAGCGTGTCTCACCCGCCGGCCAGGCAGCAGCACCTGGCACGGGAGCCCCCGCGCAGAGGGAGCGGCCCCCTCCCAGGCCTCCCCTAAGGGCACGGGGAGCGGGAGACCTGCCGGACGGACGGCGAGAGAACAGGCCCAGCTGCACCTCTGTCAGCTGCTGTGACGCTCAGACAAGCCTCTTCAAGGAGCCCCTCTGAGAGCTCACGGACATGAGTCAGGAGTGGTCCTGACACGCTAGGCCCTGCCCCGGTTCCAGAAAGCTCTCGTCCTGTCCATTCCCGTGCGGCCGGCTGCCTTGGCTCTGCTTTCCGGGAGGAGGCTGGACCCTGGGACTCTCCTGGGGGCCAGGGCGCCGTGCTGGGCCTCACACACGCTTTTCACCTTGTGCTGACCACACACACCTGCTGTGCTCTGAGCGCCGAGCTCACACTTAAAGGGACAGCCTCCCTGCTAGAGAAGGAAGGGAAAGCGGGAGCTGGGCCCTGAACTTCTGACCCCGCGGCTTACCGTACAGGGCGGTCTTCGATGGCGAGTACACGAAGGCCAGCGTGTAGAGGTAAAAGTTCAACAGGCCGTAGAAAGATAGGAACTCGGCTGGTGGGCCCGTCAAGGGAAGCAAGCAGACCTGGACACTCCACGCGGGGCGGGGCGGGGCGGGGCGGGGCGGGCCTGTGCTGTCAGTCTGTCTGCTCCTTACCCGCCGGGTACCGGGGCCCCCTAACCCACAGGACAAGCCCAGGCCAGAGGCTACAGCAGCCTTTCCAGGTTACCTGCCAGGAGCAGTCTCCTCGGAGGAGGCAGGACCCAGGGCGGGAAGGCCACACGGGTGAATCGAGAATGAAATGGAGAGCTGGGAACAGGCCCTCACAGCAGTCATTCTTTCCCCTTTTCTGGATGGCAGGCGCTTTGAGAGGCTGGTAGAAGCGTAGTGTGACATTCAGTCACAGATACCGGGTGGGAAGCCACCTAGCCTGTCAGGCACCCACGCAGGAACGAACACAGGCGCTCCCTGGAGACAGGCTCAAACTGTCCTCATCACCCACCCCGCGGACACCGCAGCTGGAGGCCTCTGGGTGGTGGGGACAGAGGCCAATGTCTGGGCTTGAATCCACCTGGTCACTGACGGCTGACTTCGCCCCGGGAGCCTGAGCTGCTGCCGGGGAGGAGTGTCCCGGGGCTGCGGGCCGGACACACCCCTCTGCAGACGGGGCGGGACCCGGGCAGTACGGCCCAGGCGGTGGCCTGCCTCTCCGGGGTGCTCAGAGACCTGCCAGCTAACCACGCCACCGGAAGCACTGAGCCAGAGGAAAAGGATATAATTCTGGTAGTGAGTAGACAGCTCAGCTACAAAATTGTCTTGTAATACTTGTGCTCCGAACCGTAAGTAAAGGATGACGATGCTGGAAAAGAGGAGGGAGATGTGTAAACTACAGGAAGAAACAGCAAAGCTTTGTGGGAGTTGTTGTATTCGCCCTGTTATCGATTACAGTCTTATTACTACGGTTTCTGCATGGAAACGTGCCCACTCCCCCGCACACCCCACCTCTGCCGCAGTGTGTGGCTTCAGCTGCAGGGCCAGCTAACCCTGACACTGGCCATGTCATGGTCCTGAGTCGGGGCCTTGGAGGTCATGTGACCTTCCGCACATCCCCTCCTCCTCTCACTCCCAGGTTCATGTTTTCAAGATCCTCTCCGAGTGACCAGCTCCCGGGAACTCACTCCTCCCTAACGACACGTCCCTGGCAGTGACCCCTTCCCGTCAGTCACCTCCCCGACAAGCGGCAGCAGCGGTTCCCGAAGGTGAGCCCCACAGCCAGGCTCTGCCCTGAGGACCCCATCCTCCGCCCTGGCCTGGCCCTCCCCTCCCCTCCTCTCCCTTCTCCTCCGAGGGCTCCATCTTCCACATGCAGCCCAGCCGGACGATGTTAACGAGCCGCAGAGCACATCTGAGGGAGGACCCCAGGGAACGCCGTCAGAGGGGAGAAAAGACCACAGAGTAAGATTAAGATTAAAATGCGCAGTTTGCGTCGAGATAAAGTTTTCTTACCTAATGACAAGCACTACAAAGGTCAACGCAGTCAAGAACTTTAACCTGAGATCTGAAAAAGAAGAACACTCCATCAAACCCGAGGACGTTACACTTCCGTCTCTCAGGAAATAAAGCAAACGCCTGAACGAGAGCCTCTTCCCTCGGACGGAGCCTGCGAGTGCCGAGCCGGGCGATGCTGGGCCGGAAGGCAGGTCCGGCGAGGACATGCTCACAGGACTTGTTTAGGATTGGGGAATGGACCCAAGGACCCAACGTCGGTGACTTCCTGACTCAGGACTAAAACCACCCTAAGGAGCGGCCTCCACAAGGAGCCTCGGGAAGGATCCAGGCAGCTCCAACCGCCACTCCCTCCCAGGTCCCAGCTCGCCTCCCGCCCACAGGCCTCCCCAGAGCCCGAGGCTCCGTCCACACGGCCCAGTGACCACCCAGCCGTGGGGGGGCCGGTCTCTGGGTCTCCCGCCTCCAGCCACTCCTCCCTGACCACCTCGCGCTGGCACTTGTGCAGTGGCCTCACCTACGTACGGCATGTGTCGCAGCTCCGAGCAGGCCCGCACGACCAGGAACAAAAGGTACAGGACGTACACGGCGGCCACCACCACGAAGAAAACCTTCATGCCCTGGAACCAACCACACGGAGTGGGCGCGGTCTTGAGCTTCCAGCAGCCCGGCCGGGAGGCCAGCACATTCCGGCCCGGAGCCTGGAGCCCGGACGGTCGCCCACACACAGAACAGGCGCTCCCGCCGCGCCCAGGTCCCTGCCCAGGCGCCGCCCTCGCCCTCTCTGAGCCCACGGCCCCACGAGGACCCAGCCCGTGCTGACCGGCTACGGGAGAACCGGGCTCCTTCCCTGCCACGCGGCAAGCCCCGCACACAGGTTGGCCGCCTGGCTGCCCGCCCTGCCTGCGAAGGTCATGGCACGTGTCACAGACAGACTCCGGGACCAGATCCTGAGAGTCCCTCAGGCGACTCTCATCTTCCTGGACCTGGGCTTCCTGTCTGTGACATGGGGGCGGAAGTCGTCAGGTCTTTTCCACATTCTGTGGTTTTGTCGCAGGAAAAACAAGAACACTTTGCTTTGAGGTTGGAAGCTGCGGTGGGCAGGCAGGCGGTGAGGCCTGGCTCCCCCTCCAGTTCAAGCTCCCACCCACCCCTGGCATCCCTGCCCTCTCCTCTCCGGGGCAGCACCCGCCCCAGGGCAAAGGGCTGCCAGTCTGGAGGCCAGGAGGAACCGACTTCCGCCTGGGCTTCATTTTCTTGTCCATCTGTAAAGGGTGGGGCGTCTGCAGCTTTGCTCAGCTTCCCGGAAGCCTGACCAGCGTTTCCTTGGTAACAGGGCCTGCCCGACGCCGTCTCCCTGCTGGGCACGGCCGCCCCCACGTGACCCGGGAACAGAACTCCCGCTCCAGCTCAGGGTGCTGCTCTCCCCTCACACTACCTAACAGGTCCTACGGTGATGATTCAACAACAGAAAAAGGACAAAGCAAAGAGGCCACCGCCCTCGGCCCTTGGCCCGCCGTCCACGGGTGCGCCCTGAACCCTCACAATCCCATTTCTACTTCCGTGCTTTCTCCCTCACAAGGTCACCCATCGAGGGCAAAGGTCACGGCACTCTGTTCATAAAGCTTACATTCAGCGACCTTCAAACTCCTCACGCTGATCAGTAATTGACTGGAAAGGCCGCTGGCACCCACTGGGCTCCAGTGAAGCATCGGATACTCACACTCCTTCCCACGAGGCCCACTCCGGGTGGCCACCGTTCCCACGGCATCAGCCACTCAGCTGCCCTCTCCGCGGCCACTGCCTCAGAGAACCGGGCGGCGGTCACAGGAGCCGTGGGAGATGCCAGCCGCCCTCTGGGACACACGAGGGGACTCTGAGGGCGCCAGCGTGGAGCGCGGGACGGGCCCGGGCTGACGGACAGTGGGAACGCGTGGCCTCGGCGGAGGCGGACAGGGTGTCGGGCGGCGCCTCCCGGCCCGGCCCTGCGCCTGTCCCGCCGGAAACCTCCGCGACTGGAGAGAACAAAGGACCAGACGTTCCCTCCGCGGTCCCCGTGTCCCTGCAGCCGGACACTCCCTGGGCCGGAGCTCCAGCCATGAGCCAAGGACCGGCAGAGCTTTTAGAAAGCCCTTTTTCAGACCACTCAAGCACATTTCCCACATGAATTTCCTACAGTCCTTCCCCAACAGCCAGTTAGTGAGTTTGTGCCAACAGAACAATGTAAGTTACAAAATCCAGTCGTTTTTAAAAAATGGCATTTAAAAACACCCTCAGGCTTCATTAATCCTTACCTGAAAATTTCCTGTGTCAACGCGATACTGGTACATCGGATCGTGCAACTCATTAACTCTGAAAACACGTTATAAGAAACCATAGATTAATAATCATTTACTTTTTACTTTTATGCTTTCACTCAGATGAAGGCTTTTTAAAAAGTAACCCTAATTTTTTTTTTTAATAATCTTTTAAAGCTAGGACTAGAAGGACATTCCCTTAATCTTTATTTATTTTTAAATAGATTTTATTGATTTTTTACAAAGAGGAAGAGAGAGAGAAATAGAGAGTTAGAAACATTGATAAGAGAGAATCATCAATCAGCTGCCTCTTACACACCTCCTACTGGGGATGTACCCGCAACCAAGGTACATGCCCTTGACCGGAATCGAACCTGGGACCTTTCAGTCCGCAGGTCAATGCTCTATCCACTGAGCCAGACCGACTTCAGCAGTAACCCTAAATTTCATGTTGACAAGGCATACGATGCTGCTAGCATGACTGTCCTCAGTCATCACCGTGGGAAAGGGGAAGTGTTTTTCATTGCGAAAATCCCTACGCTATTCTTACTCTCGCAATTTTAAGAGCCGTTTCCCAGGCGCCTTTCCATGATAAATGGGCACCAGGAATCAGATGAGTGCACACAAAAAGGCAGTAAAAGTAACCTAACTTCCCTGCCATCACTGTGACGTGAAACCGGGTATGACGGGCGGGCAGGGAGAAGGTGTGAGCTAAAGTCTCATGTGCAGGTGCCACAATGGAACCCACGGCTTCGGCAGCGCACAATTCCACAGAAGCACAGAAACGCTGAGAAAGACGGGAAGTTGACAGGTTGCAGCCAACGGAGCAGCTAAGACAGCTGGTGGGCCAGGTGCGACCTGAGCCACGCCCACAGGACACCTTGGCCTCGTAGGAGGAGGCCTCTGGAGTGACACCCTTTCCCCGCCCCCTCGCAGCCTGGAAGAGTCGTGGATCCCTCCCTCCACATGTCGTTCTTGCAAAACGGAGCCCTCAGGTCAAGTCACCCGGCCGAGTCCTGAGACTCTGGGTGACAGATTCCTTTCTGGACGAGGGCACAGCACACAGGCAGACTTCGGATCTGTCCGCGGCACATTTCACACGTTACAAAATTACTCACGTCTGCCATATTCCTAGTGTGACCGAAGCCAACCACAGGAGTCCGACAATGCAGAATTTAGGCAAATAGAAGGTCAAACACTTTCTTTCTCCCTAAAAAGCAAAAAAGGAGTAAGGAATAGAGAAATGAGTAACTCCAGCACACCTCTAACCCTGAGCCCGCACTGGTCACACACGGGACATTTCTACAGGGCGGCCATGCTTCTCTAGACCACGAGGCTGGAGACAGCCCCCAAGGTCAAGTTCACCTGGGGACGGCCGCCGCAGGCCGGCAGCAGGCATGGGCAGGCCGGGCCCGGCGGTGACGGGCGGCTCACCTGCACGCGGACGCCATGGTACACGCACAGCCAGAAGAGCAGCAGGGCGCACAGGAACAGCGACTGGAAGAGGTCGTCCAGCGTGCCCAGCGCCCAGCTGTTCACCAGGAAGGCGAGGGGGAAGAAGGGGTCTGGAGGCAGAGCAGGAGACCTGGTGAGGAGCGCACTGACGCCGTTTTGTTTTCTAAAAACCTGAAGCCGGCGAGCAGATGGCCTGTGGTGGTTACAGAGCGCCGTCTGCTCCTGCCCCCGCCCCCCCCAGGTGCAGCTCTGGGCAGGGGAGAGGAGCAGACGGCAGGCTCGCAGCTTCAGCCAAGTCCAAGGAGGCTGTGCCTGTCGCCCTTCCGAGTCTCCGTCACTTGTTTGGGAAGGTTCCAGCACCTTCCGAGTCTTCCGGCATCCTTCACGCTGGGGCGCTGCTGCCTGTGCCTTTGAGGCCCCCCTCCTGCCCCAGCCCGCCTCTCGGGGGCCTCCCAGCCCACTCTGAGGGGAAGCCCAGAATGAAGGCGCACCTACCGTTGTAGAGCAGCAGCAGCGGCAGGAGGATGGACATCCACTTGTGCTCCATGCCCCAGTCCCGCATGGAGAACTTGCGGAGGGAATGCGCGAACAGGCACTGACGGAAGGGAGCGGCTGTCACTGCTGCTGCTCCCGGAGCACCTGCCACCCAGACCCCTCCCGGTCCAGCCGAGAGCTCGGAGTCAGCCCTTGTGGAACACACTGCTGAGACCATCAGTGACAACTGCGGCAAGACGGTAACTGCTGCAAGGGGCCCGATCAGATGGGCAGGAGGGAGCAGGAGGGGGCAGGAGGGGGCAGGAGGGTCAGGAGGGGGCAGGAGGGGGCAGGAGGGGGCAGGAGGGGGCAGGACGGGGCAGGAGGGTCAGGAGGGGGCAGGAGGGGGTAGGAGGGGGCAGGAGGGAGCAGGAGGGGGCAGGAGGGGGCAGGAGGGAGCAGGAGGGGGCAGGAGGGGGCAGGAGGGGGCAGGAGGGGGCAGGAGGGTCAGGAGGGGGCAGAAGGGGGCAGGAGGGGGCAGGAGGGAGCAGGAGGGGGCAGGACGGGGCAGGAGGGGGCAGGAGGGGGCAGGAGGGGGCAGGACGGGGCAGGAGGGGGCAGGACGGGGCAGGACGGGGCAAGAGGGGGCAGGAGGGGGCAGGAGGGGGCAGGAGGGGGCAGGACGGGGCAGGAGGGGGCAGGAGGGGGCAGGACGGGGCAGGAGGGAGCAGGAGGGAGCAGGAGGGAGCAGGAGGAGGCAGGATGGGGCAGGACGGGGCAGGACGGGGCAGGAGGGGGCAGGAGGGAGCAGGAGGGGGCAGGAGGGGGCAGGATGGGGCAGGAGGGGGCAGGACGGGGCAGGAGGGTCAGGAGGGGGCAGGAGGGGGTAGGAGGGGGCAGGAGGGGGCAGGACGGGGCAGGAGGGGGCAGGAGGGGGCAGGACGGGGCAGGAGGGAGCAGGAGGGGGCAGGAGGGGGCAGGAGGGGGCAGGAGGGAGCAGGAGGGGGCAGGAGGGGGCAGGAGGGGGCAGGAGGGGGTAGGAGGGGGCAGGAGGGGGCAGGACGGGGCAGGAGGGAGCAGGAGGGGGCAGGAGGGGGCAGGAGGGAGCAGGAGGGAGCAGGAGGGGGCAGGAGGGGGCAGGAGGGGGCAGGAGGGAGCAGGAGGGGGCAGGAGGGGGCAGGACGGGGCAGGAGGGAGCAGGAGGGGGCAGGACGAGGCAGGAGGGAGCAGGAGGGGGCAGGAGGGAGCGGGAGGGAGCAGGAATGGAACGGAGCCACACAGAGCGCCCCCACACACAGGCCACATGTGCCATGCAGGGCCACATGACAGATGGCATGGGGCTCCCAGAGGCAAAGCCAAGGGGACCAGGCCTACAGCCAAAAGGTCACACAAACCCGGCGGCCTCCTGCCACGAGAAGAGTGGCACAGCCAGTGCCCACGGGTGTGAGTTTGCCTACAAGCCAGTGCCCTGGGATTAGTGTCCGACACGGACGTCCCGGCTACAGAGGCCATGTCGCCGCCTGCACTGCGGCACCCGAGCAGACACGCGGGGCAGACACGCGGGGCAGACACGCGGGGCAGACACGCGGGGCAGACACGCGGAGCAGACACGCGGGGCAGACACGCGGAGCAGACACGCGGGGCAGACACGCGGAGCAGACACGCGGGGCAGACACGCGGGGCAGACACGCAGAGCAGACACGCGGGGCAGACACGCAGAGCAGACACGCGGGGCAGACACGCGGGGCAGACACGCGGGGCAGACACGCGGGGCAGACACGCGGAGCAGACACGCGGGGCAGACACGCGGGGCAGACACGCGGGGCAGACACGCAGAGCAGACACGCGGAGCACTGCGTGGGTCAGGCCCGCCGCACACGGGTCTCAGCGCTCGGAGGTCTGCACTTGGGCGATCAAAATTCACACACTGACCCGCTCCTGTCAGACTGTGGCCTGGCTGTCTGGCGGACGGTACTTACAGTGACAATGAAGGTAAGCACCACAAAGACGAACCGGAACCAAATTTCCATCTTGGAAAAGGCGGGGTCGTAAGTCTTCCACTAGAATGGGAACGGGGACACAGTTTGAGGAGAAATGCATCTAAAAGGAAGTAGTCTGCAGCGCAGGGAACGCAGCCCACACAGCAATGACCGTGCATGGGGCGAGGAGGGCAGTGGAAATGCCAGGGAGGCCACTCCGTGAAGCACGTGACTGTCTGCCCTCCGTGCTGTACACCTGAAGCTAACACAGAATAACACTGAATGTCAACTGTAGGTGACAAATAAAGTTAAAACAGTAAAACAGCACAAAAACGGGAGTGCACCAGGTTATTAGTAAGAGTTATCTGTGGCCCTCGCTGGTTTGGCTCAGTGCATAGAGCATCAGTCGAGGACTGAAGGGTCGCAGGTTCAACTCTGGTCAAGGGCATGTACCTCTCACTTTCAGGCTCAGTTCCCAGCCCCAGGTGAGGTGCATGCAGAAGGCAATGTCTCTCTCACATCAATGTTTTTTCTCTCTCTCTGTCTTTCCCTCTTCCTTCCACTCTCTCTAAAAATCAATAGAAAAATATCCTTAGGTGAGGATTAAAAATAATAATAGTTACCTCTAGGTATGAGACTGTTAGGTAAAATGTTCTCTTTCCTTCTACTTTCTTACATGTCCTAAAATTTTAGCACATCACATTTTGATACCAGTGGCCCGCAGCATGAAATTCGTGCGCGGGTGGTGGGGGCGGGAGGGGTTGTCCCTCAGCCCAGCCTGCACCTTCTCCAATCTGGGACATCCCTCTCCACAATCTGGGATTGCTGGCTCCTAAAAGCTCACCTGCCTGCCTTCCCGATTGCCCCTAACCACTCTGCCTGCTGGCCTGCTTGCCCACAACTGCCATCCCCTGCCAACCTGCTCGCCCCCATTGCCCCCCTGCCGGCCTGATCGCCCCGAACCACCTCTGCCTCGGCCCCGCCACCATGGCTTTCTGGAAGGACACCTGGAAGGTCTCCTGGTCTAATTAGCATATTACCCTTTTGTTATCAAAGAACACAGACTTTGAAAATACTAATGGCCTAGAGCTGAAAATAGGTTTAATTGATGTTATACTAATGATGAGCCTGGCAGATAAATTAGTCTATAATCATAAAAGAGCATTTGGCTTTTATATCTCATAAAAAAAAAATCAACACTGTCAGTCTCTTTGTTAGAGAATGCCAGGCTTTCCAGGAAAAGGAACAGATTTTTATTTTTTTTTTTTTTTTTTTTTTTTTTTTTTTTTTTTTTTTTTTTTTAAATATATATTTTATTGACTTTTTATTGAGGAAGGGAGAGGGGTAGAGAGTTAGAAACATCGACGAGAGAAACTGCCTCCTGTACACCCCCTACTGGGGATGTGCCCGAAACCAAGGTACATGCCCTTGACTGGAATCGAACCTGGGACCCTTCAGTCGGCAGGCTGATGCTCTATCCACTGAGCCAAACCAGTTAGGGCAAGGAACAGATTTTTAAAAAGACATAAACTGTGAGTAGGTAGGATGTTCTAAAAAAGACTCAATGAAACGTTAAAATTTGCCTCTGAAACCAAATCAGCCGTCAGTTCCTCTCCCTCCCGCCAGGCGTGCGGAGGCAGCCCGCCCAGCCGCGGCCACGCCAGCTCACAGCAGGCCCAGAGCACGGCGCTGGGCCGCAGGGCCCCACGGGCAATGCTCCGAAGGAAAGCCGTCTGAGCAGTTAAAACCCCTTCAAAGCAGGGGTTCTTCTACACTAGATTCAACTCACTGGCCTGACACTGAAAAATACACGCAGACACACATACTATTGAAAACACTGGACACGAGGCAATGAAACTGCAAAGGAAATAAGCAGTAAAATCCCAGCAAACACTCAGGCTGCAGACATTTCCTTCCTGGCTCACCCTGCCGTTCCGAGAGTGGACACGTGAACAGGCTGAGTTCATGGCCTGGGCCCGTCTCCCTGATTAAAGCCTACAGGTTCGGTCCACGTCCCCCGTTCACCACTGCTGAGCGCCTCCTCTGACCACACATCGGCAAATACAGCGTCAAATCCCGTGCAGGCACGAGAAATTAAACGTTAAAAAGTAACCAGGAAAATGCCTCCGGGAGCCCAGCTGGTGCAGCTCTGGGGGTTGAGCATCGACCTATGAACCAGGGAGCCACAGTTCAATTCCCGGTCAGGGCACGTGCCAGATGATTTCACTTAATAATTAATATTTATTAATTACTGTATTATTTTCCATATGAACATCGGTAAGTCTACTTTTGTCTCACCTTGTATTGTACTAACTATGAATAGTGAATAATAATAATAATAAATTTGTTTTAAACTGTGGTTTAAATTAAACTATAACTTTAAACAATCCAAAATAACGTAATTTCAGCCACGCAGCGGAAGAACGGGAGAGGACCCGGGAGCCGGATCCTCTGCGGTCGGCCGCACTTACTGTGAAGTTCACGTCCTTGAGGGGCAGTCTGAGGTGTTCGAATCCCACCGTCACTGTGTACTGCGTGTAGTTCAGGTAGCTGAGGTGGGCGACGATGATCTCCGCACACTTCTGCAGACGCACAGGGAGAGCTGTGTCTTTAAGGCAAGCGAGACTCACTCTCCCACCCAGTGACCCAGGAGCGACACGTCCCAACAGCAGATGATCGGACGGATCATCTCCAGCGAAGGCACCAGAAGCCCAGAAAAATGCAGATGCCAGCCAAAAGCAGTTCTTAGAAAGAAAGACCCAAATGGGTATTTTTGGGAACAAAATTGAATTACAGACTTTAGCCGCTACTTTGGATGACTCATACTATGCACCTGCATAAAGCAGCTCAGTGTAACACAGCCCTGGCATTCCCACAAACACACTGGCGCACAGGCCCAGACCCCACCCATCAGCCCCCCAGCCTCACTTCCTCCTCGGCCCACTCCTGCAATTGCCTGCCATGCCAGCCCCCGGCCGTGGTTCTGACCATCTCAGGATCTCCTAGGCATCAGCAGAGGGCGATCCCGCCCCTGAGCAGGGACCGCCCCTCCCGGCACCCTCCCGGCACCCTCCCGGCCAGGCGAGCAGGCCGTGTCCGGGGCTGCCCACAGGCGTGTGCGGCGCACGGAGGGCACAGTCTTCGGGACGGAAGAGCCTGGGCTGAAATCCTGGCCCCTCCTCAGCGCCCGTCGCTCCGGCCCGTGCTCTGACCGCTCTGAGCTCGGCTCTTCTTAGATGAAACGAGCTCCGGTAACAGATCCTGCCCGTGGGCCCGCTGCGAGGCCTGAGGAGGTGCCGTCTGAGCGCACCTGGCTGAGGCCCAGCAGGAAACCGCTCTCCTAACTCTACGCTAAGACACGCTTGTATTGTGCGCCCCCTGCCCTCCACCCCCCCCCCCCGACGGCGCCTCCTCGCTCAGAGGGGCCTGGTCTGACCCCCTGACAGAACCGAGAGCGAGGCTCCTCCCCCGCTGTGGGCCGTCGGGCCCCCCTCCCACAGCCACACGCTGCTCGCCCACTGGCTGCTCTTCCCACGAGGCCTGCGAACAACCTAGAGCCCAGATCCGAAATGACCCGAGCAGTGGCAGGCCCTCCTGTGCGGCGGGCGGGCAGCCCAGCCACAGTCACCCACACACACCCAGGCAGCAAGCGCCACAAACAGCCAACGCAGGTGCCACACATCCTCAGGGCATGTGTGTGCATGCGAGTGGGTTTGTGTACATGTATGTGCTTGTGCATGGGTGTACAGGTGTGTGTGTGTGTGTGTGTGTGTGTGTTAATAAGCATTTATACAGGCAGATGGTTTTTCCATGCCATCACTGGTATGAAGTTTTTTACTTAAGAAAGCAAGTCTGTGATGGTGTGGCCTGCTGAGTAACCACGGGCCATGGAATGCACTCACCTCTGCACACGTGAGGGTCCTTGTGCGATTGTGAACTTTGTTATGAATGAACATGGTGGTTCCATCGAGAGCTACACCATCCACTTTAACGGTCATGAGAAAGCTCGTCTGCATAGACATTTCTACAAGAGAGAAGTTCCGTGTCAGGGACGCCAGGCACTCATGCGGACAAACACGCCCGCCTGGCTCTGTGACAGGCCAGGCAGGTCTCCACCCATTAGCTTAATTTCATGGAAGGACAAATAGTGCACAGCTAACGAATTACTTTTTAGACCCCACATAATTTTTTAAATTTAATTTTATATGAACATAAAAACAGATGTATATTTTCTGATTATATAATTTTTTCTGATTACATGCTCATACTATGACAATGGGATTAAACACTGCAATCCCTCCACCTAGAGAACAAGTTAACAGGTACGTGCCCATCGTCGCAGGCCATCTGCTAGACATACAAATACACAATGCTATCAAATTTATCTTCTTAAAATGTTACCATAAAAGGAGTTGACTTTTTTCTAATATGCATTTTCCAAGGTTTTTTTTCCCCCCAAGTTTTTTCTCAGCCAAAGCCCCTCGCGTGAACCCGGAACACGAAGCTCACGTGGTGATCCTCCTCGGTTCTCCCAGGCGGCCCACGATCAGAGCCGCCTCGGTGAGCAGGGCCCAGGCCCTGTGTCCGCCCGGGGTGCTCGGGGGAGGCCTCCCAGCCGGCACCGCTGACCCTGAGGCCGAAGATTCCCTGCTGTGCGGAGCCGGCCTGTGCGTGATGGCGTGTTCCCTGCCCACCACACCAGAAGCGCCCGCCTCCCGAGTTGTGACAATCAACATGTCCCGATGTCTCCAGACACTGCCGGTGTCTCTGGGGGGCGGACCCACTGGAAAGGCAGCCACTGAGCTGAGCTGACCAGCGCTCCTGGGGGGCGAGCTGCCCTCCCCAGGGGTGACTGGTCCTGGGGTGCTACAGGGTAACTTAGTGCGGGGGACACGAGGGCATTTGAGGGCTTCCACATTGTTGCTGTTATAAAGAATAAAGACCATCCTTGTAACCCCTCCTTTGAAATCACTTTAAAAGGTCTGAAAGCTCTTTCGACTTTTACAACGTGGGGCTTCGTACACAGAAGAATCAGACCCAACGCCAGGCTTCCTACCTTTTGATTGATTCAACTCAACAACACACGTCAGCCACAGCTGCTGATTGTATGTGGACAGCGGATTCGAACGTATGAGAATTGGCTTCAACTGAGGGAAAGAGAAAGAAGTTAAGTAACCGTGTGACCTTTCCGTTCCCATTGCAGCTACCAAGTACCTCACCTAAACACCCAAAGCGGACAGCCAGCGAGGAGGGCCGAGCATGGTGCTGGGCCAGACACGGCGCGTCCCCGAGGGCGGGAGTGAAACCCCGCCTTCCAGAAAGAGAAAGGCCTAACTGCTACAACGCACATCTGTCTCCGTGAACACCCCCGGGCAGGCGCTCCCACCACCTGCAGCCTCGGCACAACGCCCATTCCCAGAAAGCCATCTCCAGGAAAGTTAAAGGGCATGTGATGCGACGTATGATAACAGGATGCCAAAGAAATATGTTCGCAAAACTCTTAATTTAATATCAATATACCAGACATGTCTGACGTGTCTTATCTGTTATCCTCAGCTCTAGAAGAGTCTTAACCCCCTGGGGGAGAAAAGTTGGAGGGGACCCCATTGGCAATGATCCTTCCGTGGTGTCTGCTGAGAAACCCAATTCCGGTGTCTGCACAGCGGCTCCGGAGAAAGCACCGTCTGCATGCTCAGTCTCTGACGCCAGCGTGTGCTGTTGGGTCTTAATGCTCTGGCAGGTCTCCATCGAACCCATGCCCAGAGCCGTGCCCATGTTCACCCACGTGAGGGGATCTCTCGGAGGGTAATCCATCCTCCTTCAGAAGCAAGTCAGCCTGTGGGACGGCTGCTATGTTCAGTGTCAAAAAAAAAACAACACCTGACATGCTAAGACAGAAAATTTAAAAGGCAAACTCCGATCAGGGGCCTCATGGCTGCACCTCTTCCAATCAGGTGCTCACTCAGGCTGAGAGTTAGAGAAAACAGGGAAATGCGGAGAAATGGGCTACACCGGGACCCTTTTCAAGCCAGCAGTAGCAAAGGGGACAATTAAAGGTATAGGTTTTAGGGTATTTTCTTTTTTTTGCCTTTTTGAAAACTGTAAGGGTGGACACGTAGCAGGGAGCTGGAAGAACAGACAAGTTAATATTTGGGGTCAGATAATCAGATGTTATGGTGTTATGAGAATGCAAGACAAGTGTGCTCAGTTTACAGATAAAAATTTCATTTCAGCCAAGACCGGTTTGGCTCAATGGATAGAGCGTCGGCTTGGGGACTGAAGGGCCCGGGTTCGATTCCGGTCAAGGGCATGTACCTTGGTTGCGGGCATATCCCCACTAGGGAGTGTGCAAGAGGCAGCTGATAGATGACTCTCTCTCATCGATGTTTCTAACTCTCTATCTCTCTCCCTTCCTCTCTGTACAAAATCAATAAAATATATTTAAAAAAAAAATTTCATTTCATACACAGGAAAGTAAAAGTGTTTAGTTATTTGGGCTCTCGCAAGTTAGTATTTATTAAAGAATACCAAAATCCTCCAATTGGAAGAACTTTTGTTTTTCTCTAAAGATGGCAAAGGATCAAGGAAAATTAAAAAAAGAAAAGAAAAAAAGGATATTCCATTTAAACTGAGTTCATTAAAAGAACTGTCACTGCTGTTAACCGAGCCTGGCGACCGCGGTGCACTGGGCAAACAGGAAGAGCTGCAGCATGAGGCCAGGAGTCAGCGGCCTCTGGACGGCCGTGAACCGCTGCGCTCTCAGTGTCCGCGCCACCAGCCCCTCTCGCACTGAGGCATCTACTGCAGCAGGAAACGCCATTTCATCAAACGAGGACCCAGAGGCCAGCCACTGGCCGTGTTGGCTGAGAAGAACCTGCAGGACAGGCGGCCACTGCTAATGACCTGGATGCTTCCATGGCCCATCGCCTACCACGCAGACCCAGTCTTACCTTTTTGCTATTATTTAGTGAAAAATTAGCTTCAGAAGTCTGGATCGCTCTGGGTCCTAAAGTGTAACAGAAGGAAAAAGCAGGTTAAAGCCTCCACTGATAATTAATTTACTGGCTCTTGTCAAATGCCAAGACATACGTTATATGGTGGTGGTCCTATTCTCCTGGTCTGTCATCAGAGGCTGCACATGTATGTGAAACACACAGACACACAGCATCCACTCCGCTGCTGGTGACCTCCGGGCAGGTGAACCAACGGCCACCACACGAGGCACACAATCCCCAGGGTTTTCTGTCCCCGCAGAGACCTCTCCCTGCCTCTATGAGGGCTCTGGGCACCGCAGACCAAGAAAACGCTCATGACACAGAGGGCATCTACCTATTTTATAAAGCATAAAGATTTCTGCCGAAAAATTAAGGCATTTGTCAATTCACCCAATTACTCCAGTTTTCCAAAAACATTTACTCAGCAGAGAACATGAAAAAGCATACTTGCTAATATATACTCAAAGCTTTTCCTGATATAACAGATATGCAGTCTTCATAAATGCTTGCACTGTAATTTTTTAGGACTTTGGCCTTAAAAGAAGTGGTCACATCTCTTCAACAAATGTCGTTGGAAAAACTGGACAGGCACATGCAAAAAATGAAACCAGACCACCAGCTTGCACCATACATAAAAATAGACTGAAAATGGATCAAACACTTCAATGGAAGTTGGGGAACCATAAAAATCCAAGAAGAAAACAGACAGTAGAATCTCAGACATCTCACATAGAGATATTTTTACCGATACATCTGCTAGGGCAAGAGAAACAGGAAAAAATAAACAAACGGGACCACATCAAACTAAAAAGCTTCTGCACAGCAAACACACCATCAACAGAAAAAGGGAACCGCCTGTTTAGGAGAACATACCTGCCAATGATACATCTGATAAGGGGTTAATTTCCAAATATATAACAAATGTACACAACACAGCACCAGGAAGACAAAAATCCAATTTAAAAATGGGCAAAGGACCTAAAAAGACACTTCTCCAAAGCGGATATACTGATGGCCAAGAGACCTATGGAAAAATGCTCAAAGTCACTGATCATCAGAGAGTTGCAAATTAAAGCCACAGGCCCTAGCCAGTTTGGCTCAGTGGATAGAGCGACAGCCTGTGGACTAAAGGGTCCTGGGCTTGATTCTTGTCAAGGGCACATGCCCAGGTGTGGGCTCCTGACGCTGGCTGAATCACACGGGAGGCAGCCTATGGATGTCTCTCTCTCACATCAGTGTTTCTGTCTGTCTCTCGTTCTCCCTTCCACTCTCCCTAAAAACCAATGGGAAAATGTCCTGGGGAGGGTTAACAAAAGAGGAAACAAGATTGGCTACAGTTGCCATTGCCACCATCATCTTCAGCAGCAGCAGCAGGCAAATGGCACTGAAGTAATCACCCTCTCTCTGCCCAGCTCTCTCAGTCCATCACCAACCCAAGACTCAGTTTAGGTTAAGAAACCTATCTTTGCCGAGACCGGTTTGGCTCAATGGATAGAGCGTCGGCTTGGGGACTGAAAGGTCCCGGGTTCGATTCCGGTCAAGGGCATGTACATGGGTTGCGGGCACATCCCCGGTAGGGGGTGTGCAGGAGGCAGCTGATCGATGATTCTCTCTCATCGATGTTTCTAACTATGTATCCCTCTCTCTTCCTCTCTGTAAAAAATCAATAAAATATATTTTTAAAAAAAAAGAAAAAAAAAAGAAACCTATCTTTTGCTGATTTTAGCTTTGAAATGGCCTTTGAAATGGTCCCTTTCTCAGAGATGGAAAACTGAGGCCCAGAACCCATTTCTCCCCCTCAAACAGCATACTGGGGGCCGCAAGGCACCCGGGGCCGAGGTCAAGGCCAAAGCCGTCTGCAGGCTCCTCCTGCCAAGAGCTGGGGCATCACCAGGGCAGCCTCACGCTGCCAGCATCTCCCGCCCTCCCCACCACTGGCCTGCTCCTCGCCAGCCAGCAAGCTCTGGATTGCCCAGCGCCCAGGCGGGATCTTGGCACACACCCTCTCCAGAAATGTTGGGCTTCCCAGCGAAAGGAACATGGTCAAGGCCACCCGGGGCTGCACGCTGCACCCTGGCCCTGGCTGCCGCGCGGGCGGGACAGGGTCACCCCTCCACCCGGTGGGTCAGGGAGAATCGGGCCTTGCCGGGTGGGAGCGAGTGGGTACAGCGGGCGGGCTGCACAGGGTGACTGTACAGGATACCATGGCCAAAGCTGCACCTACCTTTGATCCCGACGAAGACGGTCAGGCCGAAGCAGACGAAGAAGACGATGAACACGAGCACGAAGTGGCGCTTGGAGAGCGTGTACAGCCGCATGGGCGCCAGCCTGCGGGGCAAGGCCAGCGGGTGAGGCAGGCAGGAGCCGCTGGACCGCAGCAGGCCCTCCCCTGAAAGCCCTCAGCGCACAACCGGACCCGCCGAGCCCAGGTGACCCTGACAACAGCCTCCGTGACTCAGGGCTCGGCGGGAAGCCCTCCGAGAGGCCCTGCCCTGCGTGGTCTGCACAGCGCCAGCCCAGCCCCCCATCGGGGCCGGACCATGGGCTGTGGCTCCATGCCCACGCAGGGCACATCCCGCCACTCCCCGTGGGCGGCCAGGCCCCTGGGGGGAGGCCCTGGGTCGCTCACACGCAAACACGCAGCTATGACTGTCAGCGGTCACAGCCCAGCATCCTTTCCCGTCTCTTTCCGCTGGCCGTGTTTCCTGCCCAAGGTCCCTCCGGTCTGAGACCCTCACGCGCCACCCGTGGGGGTAAAGCTCTGCTGACCTTCGCTGCGGGGTCTGGTTTTCTGCGATGGAAACCACCCTGACACTAACCCTCCCAGGGGCCCTCCTCACCCTCCTCTGTCCCTTGGCCAGGAGACCATGGTGGGAGTGAGAGTCACTTCTCACTCAGAACCCCTTCCCCAGAGGGGGCAGACCAGACAAGCCCGGGAAGGACCAGAAGACACCGGTCTCCACGCAGTGCAGTCCAGACACCACGCCAGGGCCACGTGCGAGGCCGTTCCGGTCCCCCCCCCCCCCCATCCTGAAGAGGAGGCCCGTAAACCCAGAGCTGGGAGCGGGTGGGGGGCCTGGGGGCGGGGCGCTCTGCTTTTGACTCCGCTAGCACTTCCTGGTCTCGGCCTGAGGAGCCGGCTCACGCCTCCCGGCAGGTGAGACACACCCTCTGGGGGGGAGGGGGGGCAGGCTTACCCACAGCAGAGAATCAGCTTATTTGCTTTGGTGGCACGAGGCTCACGTGGCTCTGTGCACACACACCCTCCTCCCCCACGAGGCCAAGCTGCCAGCTCCTCAGCCGGAAGCCAGCCGGCCAAAGTCCGGGGCAAAGGTGGCCCACGCCGTGGCTCTGACGTGGCCGTGCCCAGCGGCCCGCTCTCCGGCGGGGCCTGCGGGCCTCCGGGCGGTGACTGCAGCCAGTCACAGGGAGGAAGCAGGACTCAGGGCGCGGGTCCAAAGGCTGAGCCGCACTCAGCCTGCGGTGCCGAGGAGAGACAGCCAGTGGCAGGGCCCGGCCCACTAGCGTTTGGGCCCAGCGGCCGTGAGCCCGGAAAGCCCTGAGGTATCAGCCCGGAGAGGAGAGCGGCCCAGCCCCTCGGGTTTGCATGAACAGATGGGGCTCTTCCCAAGATGCGCCGGTCCCCGGGAAGGGGCTGAGGGAGCCGCTCCGCGGCCCCGCACAGCCTGTGGGACGGGCTGGGGAGAGCGGGTCCGGGCCCTGCACAGCCTGTGGGACGGGCTGGGGAGAGCGGGTCCGGGCCCCGCACAGCCTGTGGGACGGGCTGGGGAGAGCGGGTCCGGGCCCCGCACAGCCTGTGGGACGGGCTGGGGAGAGCGGGTCCGGGCCCCGCAGCCCAGCCAGGTGACGGCGCCCTGCCACGGCTCTGCTCCCGAGGTCCCAAAGGCTAGACTCTGACACCTCAAGGCCACTGCCTACCCCGGACACGGACACGGACAGGCCGCCGTGACCTCCAACTTCCCATCTCTGCGCCAAGAAGGCCCCTCCCTCCCCTGCAGCCGGACAGCCGGGCAGGAGGGAGGCAGAGTGCTCGGAGCGCCAACAGTAGCTCCCTCTACGCACTCTGCCTGCCCCGCGGCCCTCAGGCGGCCGTCAGGCGGCGGGCAGGGAGCACGCGGTGGACTCCGTCTGGGCCGCAGCACAATGGCCACAAAGGGAGAACCTGGTGAGCGGAGGACGCGAGGAAACACCTCCAGGCTGGTCCTCGGGCTCTGGGGAGAGGAGGGCACACCGGCACACACAGCCCTGCGTCACCGACGGCACCGACGGCAGGGACATCAGCGGGGCAGGGAGGCCGAGGGCTTTCTAGTGACTCATTTTTTTTTTTTTTTAATATATTTTATTGATTTTGTACAGAGAGGAAGGGAGAGAGATAGAGAGTTAGAAACATCGATGCGGGAGAGTCATCCATCAGCTGCCTCTTGCACACCCCCTACTGGGGATATGTCCGAAACCAAGGTACATGCCCTTGACCGGAATCAAACCCGGGACCCTTCAGTCCCCAAGCCGACGCTCTATCCATTGAGCCAAACCGGTCTCGGCTCTAGTGACTCATTTTATCCCGTCCTGGGAGCTTCCACTTAAGAATTAAAAATGAGAATCTAACCGAAACCGGTTTGGCTCAGTGGTAGAGCGTCTGTCTGCGGACTGAAAGGTCCCAGGTTCGATTCCGGTCAAGGGCATGTACCTTGGTTGCGGGCACATCCCCAGTAGGGGGTGTGAAAGTGGGAGCTGGTCAATGTTTCCCTCTCATCGACGTTTCTAGCTCTCTATCCCTCTCCCTTCCTCTTTGTAAAAAATCAATAAAAAAATATATTTAAAAAAAATGAGAATCTAGGCAGTGGAGAGGGCTTCCGTTCTCGATCCCCTCCCATTTATTTGAGATTCTATTTCTTCTAGAAATCTGCATAAAAGTAATTTCTTCTGTGGCCCAAAGCCCTGGCTGGGTGCCTCAGAGTCCTTATCTACAGATCGGAGACACGATAGCGCAGGGCTGCTGGGAGGCAGCGGTGAAGTCAGTGCTCAGAACAGCGGAGGGCGCGGGGGCCATCATGTTGGTTAGCAGTGGTAGGAGCTGTGCTTTCCCCTCCCCCAGCTTTTTGTTTTTCCATCCTACCAGTACCCCCGACGACCACTGCGTAACTGGCACCTCTAGTTCAGACTCAGCCATCGGAAGGACAGGGTGGGAGCAGCTGGCATTCCCTGGGCACCTCCTGGGCCCCAGGCAGGTGCTCCCCGGAGGCAGGGGTGATCCGCCCATTTTCACAGACAGGGACCGCCTGCCGAGGCCCCGTCAGCAGGCGGTGAGGTGGGATTTGAACCCACACGGTCAGGAGCACAAAGGTGGCCCCCAACTCCCTCACACTCACTCCTGGGCCTCCTCACCGAAGTCTTTCCTTTTCAAACCTGCCATTTATTGGGTTTCAGGAAGAAACTCTGAGGGAAGGAACAGAACAAGAACTCTGAAATTTCAATCAACCGACTTGAATATGGTACAAATAATTTATCTTTAGCTACTCAGAAAAGCCATATGCAGGCAGCCACGGCCCCACAACCTCAGGATGTATGTGCATGAGCAAGCCACCAACTCCCGTGTACGCCTCCGAGGCTGTCCACCCAGCGTCTTCGCCCAGGAGCGTGCTGGGGAGGCCACCAATACCCTCGCAGGGCAAACAGATGGAGGGAGCAGACCACACACTGGTCAACGCAGGGTCACGGGCAGTGCAGCCCAGTGGTTAAGAACTGGGATCTCGAGGCCCACTGCCTGGGCTGGAGGGCCTTCACCATTGACCTGGGCAGTGAGAATCCCTTCCTTCTCTGGTTCCCAAACTGTGAGAGCGAGGGGGCTAAGGGACCGTCACGGAGGGTCGCTGTGGCAGCTACTTCCCGAAAGCCCTGCTCAGTCATCGCCTCTGTTACCGGAGCAGCAACAGCGTGGAAAGTGTCAGGGGGGGCTCTGGAGCTGACCACCGGCCTCCGTCCCAGCCCTGCCCTTACTAGCTGTGAGCTTGAGAGACTCAGGGGCTTCGTAACACTCTGTTCTCTCTTATTGGTTCCAGAGATCACTGTGGTTCAGGAAAAACAAACCTATTCTCAGAGACACAATCCTGGCCAACTCTCCGGTTGCGGGGCCAGGATACTGACGCAGGCCTGCCACGAAGGAAGCCTGGGACAGAACCACAGCGGGCCCGTGGGCCACCCGCCCCTTCGCTGGGGGCAGACGGGAGTCTCACTGATACACTTCACACTTAAATGTCCCCGATGAGAGGGACAGGCAGAGTACACTCTTTAAAAACGGGTTGTAAATACCAAGCAAGACCCACACCAGACGCCAACCTTATTTAGGTACGCAGGGAAATGCTACAGAAAGAGCAAAGCAGCAAACGGAACCTGAGAGAGATCCACTCGCTGTAGTCAGCAGCCAACAGGAAGGTCCGGCGCTAGGAGCTGGGTGGGACTCGCCCTCTCCTCTCCTCCCGGCTCACACGCCCCTCGCTGTCAGATAAGGAATGGAGTTTGCGGGGAACGTGAACGTCAATCTTTAAGAGCTGGATTCCTCATTCAGGCTGGTTTGGGCAGCACTCTCTCCCGTCCTTTTAAAAAGAGTAGGCTGTGTCCACCCGGTTTGGCTCACTGAACAGAGCGTCGGCCTGTAGACTCAAGGGTCCCAGGTTCGATTCTGGCCAAGGGCATGTACCTTGGTCGCAGGCACATCCCCAGTGGGGGGGAGGGGTGTGTGTGTGTGTTTCTCTCTCATCGATGTTTCTAACTCTCTATCCCTCTCCCTTCCTCTCTGTAAAAAATCAATAAATATGTATTTTTTAGAAGGAGTGGGCTGGGCTGCATGTGAGCAGGGAGGCCCTGGGGTCACAGACCCCGCACGGCTCCCCGCCATCCCCCCAGCCATTCTTTCTCAGCCTCTTTCCCCGTTCCTGCAGCCTGTCAGCGTCCCAAACGGGGCTCAGTCACCTCTGCCAACAAGAGCACGAAGGCCAGTACTCCCTTCGGAAGCTCAGGCTTGTTTTCTCCTAGGATTTTTATTCGCTGCCAATCGCTTTATCGAATCCCCAGGTCCGTGCCATCCTGAGTGCTGGACTGGGCAGTGGCTAGCTGACTGCCAGGGAACACGTCCACCTCCCGGGCCCTGGCTCAGTGGAGCAGGGCACATGGCTCCCAGGAGCACCCGTGCTGCCCCTGCTCCCCGCTCCGCAGCGGGACCACTGCCACCACGTCAGATAGCAGGCGGCTCCGGGTCCGGCAGGAGCCCACACAGGTCACCCCCTCTGCCTCTGAGCCCTGTGGAAAGGTCTACCGCCAGCACACACACCGGGGCCGCGTGCGATCGAGGAGGGAGATTCGCGGGTGACAGGACTCAGCGTGCCGGTGTCACTCTGCCACGGGGTCACAACTCTGCACAGCACCAGAAGGCACCCCCCTGCATTTCCCGGTGCCAGTCACAGACCCCACAAATGAGCGGTGCTCCCGAGGGCACAGAGGCAGTAACACTGACCCCTCCACCTGGGTCTACAGAGCAGGGAGGCGGGGTGCCAGGCTGGCCTCCCACGCGGTGCTAAGGTCAGACTTTCCCCCATCACAGCTGCTGGCCTCTGGGCAGGTGCCTGGATCTTAGCCCCTATGTCTGTGATCAGAAGTGGCCAGGCAGCCCCAAGTGCACAGAGCAGCACAGTCCCGTGTGAGGGCCGCGCTGGACCGCGGGGACCGCCCTCCTTCCCTGACTTCCTGCCGCTCAGGAGCTGGACTGGTGGCCAGTTCTCTCCCCTTCGCTGGGTGCCCCTGGGACTCCGGTGACAGCTGCGTGGGAAGCGGCTTTACGGTGCGCCCCGGGGCCGGGCCAGGTCTTCCCCACTCAAAGCCCCTAACTTCCGAGGCAAAGGGCCCGGAGCCCACGGGCCGCAAGCTGGCAGGCGGGCACCCCGGCCCGGAGAGGCTGGCAGGCTCCCAGCGCGCCAGCATCACCAGCCGCCTCGCAAGCACCTCGCTCCCCGCGGGGGTCGCGCCTCTCCTGGGAGGCTGGGTCCCGGCGGCCGAGGACGGGCGAGGGGCCCAGAGCCGGCCACTGCCGGGCACCCCCCGGCTCCCCGGGAAGGCCGGGCCCCGGTGCCCTGGGCGACCCCGCCCGCACCCAGCTCCCCGGGCCCGGACCCCGCACCCCGGCCCCACGGCCCACCCAGCCCGGCGGCGGAGCCCCTCCCGAGTCCCCCCAAAGTCCGGCAGCGCCCCCTCCCGCGTCCCCGCGCCCGGTGTGGGCGGAGGGCCCCGCGGCAGGGCTCCCGGGTGCGGGACGCAGGAACCCCAACTCCGGGCCCGGGCGCCGGACACCGGCCCCCGCCGCCGCCTCCGTCCTCCGGGCCCGCACTCACGGCTCCATCGCGGCCGGCGCCGGGGTCCGCCCCGCCCCGCCCCGCGCCCCGCCGCTCAGCAGCCGCAGGCGCAGCCACAGGCGCAGCCGAACCACAGCGGCCGGGCAGCGGCTCCGCGACTCGTCAGAGCGCGACGCGCGGCGGGTCACGTGCGCGGAAGCGGCCGGAGCGGCTGGGATGGGGGCGGGGCCAGAGGCGCGGCAGGCGCGGCGGGGCGGGGCCTGAGGCTGGGGGCGGAGCTTGGTGGGTCTCCCTCCTCCCCCACTCTAGAGCCCAGAGGCGGGGCCACACGCGGGAAGGAGGCGTGAATGAATGAATGACTCCTTGTCCTCAGCGGAGGGGGCCCCCCCACATTCATCCACACCCCGCTTCCCGGGCATCTAACGGGGCATGCGAGTGGGATCGGGAAGACACTGTGGTGTCTCGTGTTCCTGGCAGAGAATCTGCAGCTTTCTGTATTCCCAAAGAGCTGTGGCCGCGGGGAGGTGGAAGGAACCCTCTGCCGCCAGCCCGAGTGACGGAGGAGAGCTTTCCGGCTGTTCGGAGCCTCTGCAAACCTCTCCGGACGGCCGCCGCCACCGCGTCTCCGCCCAGCACCGGCGCTGACAGGCGCTGGGGCCACCTGGGCCTGCAGGGCGGCCAGTGCGAAGGCATCAGCTTGGTTTGGGTTCTCGGCTCACAGTTGTGTTTGTAATCTAGGACAGCCGAGAGCCACAGTCCGCATATTTGAGATTCACCTTTGCAGCATCGGTCAAAACGTCCCCTGTCTCCATGTCCAGTGGGCTTAAAGTCAAACCCAGTGAGGAAAATAAAGGCCTCAGCCTCCTTCCTAAGTACCCACGTTCGTTCACTAAGCTGTCCACAAGCTCGGTGGGTGGGAAGAGACCAGAGGACGAAGATGCAGTTCCTGCTCTCCCTGAGCAAAGTGAGTGACCACCAGCACAGGTTGCTCCAGTGTCACCAGGAAGGGCACCAAACTCACTGGGGGCTTGGGCAGAGCGGACCAGGGAGGAGAGAAGGCACGCTGTTGGGCTGCCCTCAGGGGAAGGGGAGGTGGGGAGGGCTGGGAGTCGGGGGGGGGGGGGGGGGGGAAGGGGAGGTGGGGAGGGCTGGGAGTGGGGGGGAGGGGAGGTGGGGAGGGCTGGGAGTCGGAGGGAAGGGGAGGTGGGGAGGGCTGGGAGTGGGGAGGGGGGAAAGGGGAGGTGGGGAAGGCTGGGAGTCAGAGGGAAGGGGAGGTGGGGAGGGCTGGGAGTGGGGAGGGGGGAAAGGGGAGGTGGGGAGGGCTGGGAGTGGGGAGGGGGGAAAGGGGAGGTGGGGAGGGCTGGGAGTCGGAGGGAAGGGGAGGTGGGAAGGGCTGGGAGTTGGAGGGAAGGGGCATAGCAAGGAAAGGAGCCACCTGAACACAGAGTACATTATATGACAAGAAGTTCCATTAGCACTTTGAATCTCAAACCTCAGCTCTTACGGGAGCCATAACGAAAGGTTATTTCTCGGGTCCTTTCTCAGAGACACGTGGAGAGAAAAGGCCAGAAGACTGAGGGACACAGCACCCATGTGGGGACAGCCAAGTAAGGAGATGAGGGTCAGTGGGTACGGCGAACCGGAGCGTGGGCATCGTCTAGAGGGGCGGCTGCCGCTCAGCACTTCGAAAGAGGCTGACTCCGAACAGGCCTTTTCATGCGACACCTTAGGATTCTCAAACGTTGGAAAGGAACTGAAAAACTACGTTAGGCTCGAAGAGGACGAACCCACAGGCAGAGGCAGCCGGTGCCCCTCCCATCAGAAGCAGCTCTATCTGGTGCGGAAAGGCCTGCCCGGGGTTCGAGCCAGTGGCTGGGCCGCTCCTGAGAGTCCCCAGGACCCTCGCTGTTCCATGCGAGTTCTAAAGTGTTGACATCTTTGAGGGCCGCGCTGCCCCCCCGGGAAGGCTCCTAGCTGCTCTCTCCAGAGCTGCTGTCCAGCATCACTTAGATCACGCTTTTCCTCGCTTATTTTTCCGTCCAGCATTCACTGTGATCGAGAGGGAAGTGGAGAGGTGTGTGACCGTGTTCAGGAAGAAGGCAAAGGGACCCAACCTACTCTGGGCCTCCGAGAAAGTTTGATCCGTCAACCATGCCCCCAGCAGGCCCCTCCCCTCCCCTCCAGGCTTCCCACCCGAGCTTCTGTCAGTCTGGCAAGCTTCCTCTTGAAGCTCAGAAGGGAACATTTCTCACATGCGGTCCGATCAGCCCTGAGAAGGGGTTCACATCTTGGCAGCCTCCCCCCATGTGGCCCCCACTCCATCCTCAGGAGGCCTCCCCGGCTCTGCTCAGGGTCATGCTGTCCCGTGAGAATGACCAATTACCGGCGCCTGAAAACTGAGGTCTGAGCCAACGCGTCACCTCAACAACTGATGAGCTGTCAGCGGCCTTTGTCCCCATTTAACGAATAAGAAATGGTGTGGACTTGAATGTGAATTTTGAATCTCACCTGAGTTTTCTCTGTTCCGGACCGTATAACTTATTGAGAAACGTCCCCGAATGTCCCAGAATCCAGCCTGGCTTTACAACAGTTCCAAGGCCAAGACAAGACCAGGAACTCTCAGAAGTCACGGGGTGACCTGGAGCAGGCCCTGGTGCCCTCACGGGGGGTTCCCAGGGTGGCACAGATGCCACCCACCTCCAGCCTCGGTCACCAGCTCCTTCTGCCCCGGAAGGCTGCCGGACAGGTAACAGGAGCTGCTGTGTCTGGTTCTCACGTCACACACCAGCACCTCGAGGAGGAGGGAGCTATCCTTCACAGTGTCACCCCTCTGACAGGCGGTTTGAGGCAATAAACAGCAGCGTTCGCGGCTCCTGCTGCTGGGCTGTGTGACGCTGTGAGTCACAGTGCAATGGCTTCAGGGAAGTGCGGGAAGTCCAAACAGGAAGAGGCGCTACTTGAGAAGCTGCGCAAGCGTGTGGAGGTCAGTGTGGAAGGAGAACGGGAGAGCAGGCCTCGCTGGCCCTGCAGGACCGAGGCAGGCCCAGCCCGGCCAGCTCCTCAGGGCGCACAGGGCGAGGGTCTGAAGGGGGTCACTGGCTGGAGGGGGAGAGGCCACCAGGGACGTGGGCAAGAGCAGCCCCGGGGCTTGGTGGTGAGCCCCACGCTCCGAGCTGCATAAGGAGGGGACAGGACACCGGTGGTGCACCACAGTGGGTGGCGCCTGGACAGGTTGCCTGGAGGGGGCGGTTCCTCTCAGCAGGAGACCCTCCTGACTGGGTGGTCAAGGCCGCCACTCAGGAGGGGAAGCGGGCATGGGAGCTCCCACAGGAGGGGGGTGGGAGAGTGCCCAGCCACTCAGCAGCGAGGTGAGAAGACTGGGTGGGCGTGCTCCCACGGGCGGCAGCGGCAGGTTGGGGGCCGTGATAGCCCCGCTTTGCCTCAGCGATGGCAGCTGATGTCAGTGCTGCTCAGAGGTATGCACACCCGAAATGGCTAACAATATGCACACTGAGGCTGCAGTTAGAGCAACAGGTGTGAGAGAACTGGAGCTGGTCATGGTGGGAGGGAGCTGGTCTGTGAAATAAGTGGAGAAACAAACCATGTGGAGCCAACATGCAGGGCCCCCCTCTGCCCTACTGACAGGGCAGCAGGTGGGGGCCAGGCAGTGTGGTGGCCCGGAGGCCGGGCTGAGGGCACTTCGGGCAGAGCTGCAAACGAACAGGAGGAGTCAGAGTTGAGACGTGGGGACAAGTGGGGACAGCTGTGGGGGAAGACCCAAGAGGGAGAAGAGAGCGGTCAGGAGCGTGTGGGGAGTGGGGCAGGGACAGCGCAGACAGGACGGCTAGGTCTTGGGAGCTGACTGTGCCGGCCCCTCATACACGTGTTTGCTCGGGCCCTCGGGCCCTGGCCCGCCGGGGCCTGTGTCTTGCTGCAAACAGAGAACCACAGCACCAGCCTCCCTGGCACGCCAGGGTGCGGCCAGCCCTAAGCTGCGAGTATTGAAGTTTAAGGAAATTCTTTGTCTGCCTTTGACATGACGGAGAGAAGCTGTTCTAAAATCACAGCCTCATCAGGGATACTTATCACTCTTCCCCCAAAAAGGAAACGGAGGCCCCGGAGAGCCGCCAGGACCCCCGCTCAGCGGGCTGCCTCCAATGACATGAGCGCCAGGAGAAAGGGTCGCCCGCTGAGATGTGACCAGCCCCTCAGCCCGGGGGCCGGGTGGAAATGCGCAGGCTGCCTTCATCAGGAAAGCGGCTCTCTGGCCTTAAACCTGACTGCACCCTGACCAGCTGACTTCATCCAAAACGGAGGCCGGGCAGCGGGCAGAGCGGAAACGGGAGGACCGGCCACGGTGGGCCCTGACAGTGGCCTCTGAGCTGGGGGCAGGCAGGGCGCCTTGGCTAATGACCTCCCACAATCCTGCCCACGGACGAGTGGCTGCCCAGGCTCCCGAGGCCTGATGCTCCAAACATTCCTCACCTCCTGGGCTCTCCATCCTGGCCAACACCCAGCCGGACTAATGAAACCGTAATCCTCCAGGGCAGGCCTGGCACTTGTGTTTTTAAAAGCTCCCCCGGAGATTCTGATGCGTGGCCAGCATTAAGGACCCGTCTTGCCTGGCCCGCAAGGCTCAGTGGCTGAGCGTCGACCTAGGAACCAGGCGGTCCCATGTTTGATTCCCGTCAGGGCACCTGTCCGGGTTGTGGGCTCCATCCCCAGTCAGGGGCGTGCAGGAGGCAGCCGCGGCGTGATGTTGATGTCTTTGCCTCTTTCTCCCTCTCCTTTCCTCTCTACAATCAATAAAAATAAATAATAATGTAAAAAGAACCCGTCTCACGAATCGCCCTGCCCTGGTGCCACTGGTCCCATGTTGAATGCATGCCGTCCGGTTCAACACCATACATAGGCCAGAGCTTGGCTGCTGTGAAGCCGTCACCGCAAACAACTTTTCCTGGACGTGCGGTCTAACCTAGGCCAGTGAGACGCGGGCCAGCCCCATGGCCGATGAGTTCACCCAGGGGACAGAACGTTGCTTCCGGAAGCCTCTTGGGCATCACTTCGCTGGCCAGGAAGAAGCCAGCCCACCTCCGCTGCGCGTGTATTTCACGGGGTGATCGCACGAGATACAACACATGGGCCAGCCAACGGCCAAGCACCAATCCTCTGAGAACTGAGCGCTAGGGGAACGTATT